TTCAGGTATTTACTGCACGTATTTATGTGCGTATGTTGGAGGGGATGTGTGTAAACATGTTGAACGTTTATTTTATATATATATATATATATATATATATATATATATATATATATATATATAATGGATATCGGCTTGGATGGTGGAATCGCAGAGCCGAGTTCGAATCCAGGTTGAATCCATTACATTCACTTGCGTGCTAATACCCTTGGGAAAAGGTTTGAATCCTATGGGTTAAATAGCAGGACAGACTGGGTTCTATAACCTTGGATGGCAACTGATCTAGGAGAAGGACAACTCTGAATTCAAAACCTGAGTGGGGTTGTAGTGCACCAGGTCCCTGTATTCGGCCCTTCAAAAAGTGTGGATGGTCCTGCACGAAACCTTCACCAATATAATCGAATCTCATGTGCCGGTGTCGGGCTGTCAGTTTCCTGGAAACTGATCTGCTTGACCCGCATACGTCGAACCCTACGGGAGAATCGATATATATATATATATATATATATCAATTTGTAATTGGTAGGTATGAGCTCAGTGTTAATTACAGTGTAATATAATTATAAACCAAGAAAGATCTTTAAAATCCATAGGTTATAATTTATTTCATGAATATTATTATATTCAACTCTCCAGACATAAAGTTTCTAAAAAAAAAAACAATATTCATACGATACGACGCAAGAGTCATACCAACTGTATCATCGGGCCTCGATGTTGGAGATATCACGAATTAAACATGACATAGTGCTGCTTTTCACAAATTCCGTGGTGTAACTCATCCGAGTTTCCCTTACCCAAAGGATTATGCCCCGACGAGCAACGACTACTATCTCCAAGCCGCCCCATCCAGAGCATTAGAATTCTAGACTCGATGAATTACTTAATTATGATTATCTCAAATCCTCATAATAATTTCTATCACTTGTATATCCTTGCTTGAACCAGCTTTTAATGCTCTGGATGGTCAGGGTTCGATTCTCGTTAGTGGATGCGCCCTGCTGATAAGTCGCAAATATAGGACGAAACGGCCGTCCAATGCTTTCTGCATTCTGTTGAGGATCATTCTAGAATCGAAGAATTACTTAATTATGATTATATCAAATCCTTCTAATAATTTCTATCTGAAATATATGATTGCTTTGTACAGAGATGTTCACCCTGTACAAGGAACGGAACCACACGACGTATAGTGTTTCAAAGTAAAAGACTTAATTTATGGGGATATGTGGGGAAGATAACGGCTAAAATTTGATTTGAAAAGGTTAAGATTGTAGTGATCGGGGAAGCATCCTCTTGGGAGTCTGTTCTACAAAGCAGTGGTTCGTTAGAAAAACCTGCTTTAGTGGAACATACATCTCACTAGCAGAATGTGAAGGGAATGAGGATGGTTGACTATGTGTGTGGCATGGCAGGTCTTAGTCTTGAATTTAGAATTGGTGTAATAAAGAATACAAGTTATCTGAAAATTTTCCGTAGAAAAAAAAAACAGGAGTCTTGCTATATTTTGTCTGTGAGAAAGGGAGTGCAGGTTGGAAAATAATTTAGCAAGAAGAGTCAGGTACTTAATTTGGTTTTCGTTAGAAACAGAGAAAAGAGTACTAAACAATTATGCAATATTACTCCTCCTATACGACCAAAAATTATAGACAATCCTCTCACACATCAAAAAGAGACTTGGGACTAAAGAAGGTTCTACAGAATGATGCTGAGAATACCATGATCTAAAGATGTTTGTAAGGACGATGTATTAGATTAAATGTAAAAGTTTTAGCCATGAAGGTTAGAATTGGTGGAATTGAGGGGTGGAGTTCGTTCAAGCACTTCCCATGGAAGTAGTAAAAGAGCAGGGAGAGGTTTTCTACAGCTCATCTGTGAGAAAGGGATTGCAGGATGGAAAATAATTTATCGCTTACACAGATGCTAAGATACTTTTGGACTTCCGAGACTGGAAAGTGAATACTGGGAAGCTCCTGCCCATATACGGCAGGGGTACGCCATTTGAGGCCTGATCTGGCCCTTGTAAAGGTAGAGGATAACACAAGGTGTCAGGTACTTACTGGAGCGCTATAGGGAACTGACCTTTTAGCGATGGTCATATGTGAAAGTTACACTTGAGGTCTAGGTTAAATTTAAGTCCTAATAGATGCTCTAGGACTGTATCCTTCGGTAGAATGAAATTTCTGTTGCCCCTCGTCACTTCATCCGTAAGGAGATTGTCTAGCATTCACTGCCATAGAAGAGGACTGCTATAATATAATAGTTCAGTTCTTGTTTTAATTTATTACAAATACACCCTTGTGCAAATTAATCGAAACAAAACGAATAATTTTGTTATTATTCAATGTTTCGTATTTTTCCAATGAAACATCACCCAGTGCACATGTTAGGACTTCGTATGGCCATTCCACAAAGTCTTTGATTGCAGATTGACCACAAATTCTCGACTGGATATAAATCAAAAGCGTTTCCGTGTAAGGCTTGCCATTGTGTTCGTGCAGCGTACAGTTTTCGTACGCTTTCTTGGAGTAACGTCCATCGCAGACAATGGTCGTAAGGCAACTAATCGACAGTCGAGACAATAGTGTCTGGGCGTGAGGAAAATCTGATGAAATCACGGATGATGCAATATTTTTCAATAGCTAAACAAATTTCATCATACACCCCGAAAATAGATTCATATTACTGCACACCACTGTAAATGACCTAATCCGAAGAAGAAATAGATATCGATTACACCCTGTCACTCCAGTTAGTTTAAAATTGACCGTTTAGTGAAAGAAAGGAAACTAAAGCAGTTGTTTTAATTAATTTGAACAAGGGAGTATGTTCAATCTGTACAATGTCCAAGAGCCACTCGAGGTAGAATGTTACAGAGTAAGAGGCACAGTTTATAGGAATAGGTGAGGAAGATGACGATTAAGATGACTTTAACAGGTTAAGATTTTAGTGATCGCGTAAGTATCCTCTTGGGAGATAGCAGGAGATGTCAGTTACTTTATTTAGTTTTCGTTAGAAACAAAGAAAAGTGTACGGAATTATTATATAATATCACTCTTCCTATATGACAAAAATAATGGACAATCTTCTCACAGGTCAAAAAGAGACTTGGGACTACAGTAATACCATGGTCTAAACATGTGGGTAACGACGGAGTATTAGATTATATGTAAACAAAAAGATCCCTTATACGTAACATTAGAAAGAGACAGTTTAAAATTATGTTACAAGAAAAATTGATCTGCTGAGCGTTCTTCTTTGGCACCTCGTCTTTACGGATTAAGTCTCATAAATATTCATGTAAATGCTAATAATTTTATCTCCTGCACGTCTCGCTTGTAGATCTCTCTTCTAGCGTTTCGCCAGACAGATAGATAGATAGATAGATAGATAGATAGATAGATAACTAAAGTAAAGAAATTCCAATATATAATTCCATAATATATATATATATATATATATATATATATATATATATATATATATATATATATATATATATATATATATATATATATATATATATATATATAGGTAACTACACTCGTCTCGGAAAAATCTTCGGTTTCTTGATTTGCAAATGGTCAAATCAATTTCGAAGGAAAAAGGTTTTAAAAAAAGGAAGAGCTAGGAACATGAACGTTTGTCGAAAATAATCGTACAGCATACAGGTCCAAAAGCCCAAAAAAAAAACCCAATACGAGTAATCAACTAACTAAAAAGTGCTCAATACAAAGTAGACCAGACCTAAAAAACCTAGAGAGCCAGAGAAACCTTCGAAGGTTGTTTATTTAAAGCGGATCGTCAGATTCCCTGACGATCCGCTTAGGTGAAACCTTTGGTACGTTTGCCTGGCTCTCTAGGTTTCATATATATATATATATATATATATATATATATATATATATATATATATATATATACACTCGACTCTCCCGTCAAATTCGATGTATGAGGGTCAAGCAGATCAGTTCCTAGAAAACCGACAGCCCGACAACAGCAAATGAGATTTGATTATAGTAGGGAAGGTTTTGTGTAGAACCATCCACACTTTTTGAAGGGCCGAATACAGAAACCTAGTGCACTACGTGCCACAAGGTCCCCAAACGACCCTCCGCAGGTTTTGAATTCAGAATTGTCCTTCTCTTAGACTAGTTGCCATCCAAGGCTATAGAACCCAGTCTGCCCTGCTATTTACCCACAAATGGAGGGAGAAGAAGAGGATTCACACCTTTCCCATATAAACAAATATAAAAGAAAGAAAAGAATATAAATTCAAACGTTCATAACATTAATATAAAAATGAGCTCAATACAAGAGTACAGCAATAAATATTTATTATAAACAGTTACATTGGATCTTGCAAGTTACCGCAAAAAAATGCATATTTGTTTCGACGTTTAAAGACGTCTAACAATGGTGGTAATAAACGATTTTATTTAAAAATACAACTTATGAAACATCACTTCATTTTACATTTTTGAAAAATTTCCATAAAAGTCAAAAAAAATATATATATATATATATATATATATATATATATATATATATATATATATATATATGCATGCATTTCATTAAAAACGACAGACAAGGTACTACGGTGGAGCTTTTTATTTAATTTTTCTTGTGTTCTGACAAGAGCTTTTTTTCTGGACAAAGAGTGTAAGAACTGTCCGAATGTTCTGTATTTCCGAGCGCTTTCAGCTATACCTTTAGCCATTATCAAGGATGATTCAATTATCAGCTTAGTAGAGTGTGTGTGTGTTCTGTGTATGTTCAGTGTGTGGTAGTGATGTTTTTAGTTTCCGATTACGGTTAGCACATCGTGGCTTTGTTCATAGTTGATATTGTTAAGAGTTGGCTTTTTCTTTTTTATTATTAGAGCTTCCATTATTTTTAGTCTTTTTTTGCAAGTGGATGCAGTTAATATATTTGTGTTTTCTACTAGTATGTTCCTAATAGTGTCGGGTAAATCTGAGTGTGTGTTTAAATGTGTTCTATATAGATAGATAGATAGATAGATAGATAGATAGATAGATAGATAGATAGATAATTAGAAATATACTCTTAAGGTATGCTATATTTATGGGATAAAGTGCTCAATATCAGAGATAGAGCTTATGTAAAAATAAAAGTGAACATTGAAGTCAACACTTACAGGCGACGACGATTGCGTCTAGCATGAAACAGCCTGTCGCCCTAAGTGTTGACCTCAATGTACACTTTTATATATATATATATATATATATATATATATATATATATATATATATATATATATATATATATATTCATTCCATGAAAGGAAAAGAAAGAAAAAAAAAGTACATAAAAGTAAAAAAATGAAAGAAAATAAAAAAAATCACTAAAAAGTTATAAGAAAGCATAAGAAATCAACCCTATTACAAAGAGAAGGGAAGGGAAAGAAAGGAAAATGGAGAGGAGTATATGCAAATTTTACAGATCCAAATGAAAAGGAAACAGAAGAAAACAAGATATGAGACGTTGTTGATATAGATAGATAGATAGATAGATAGATAGATAGATAGATAGATAGATAAGGTGAGTTTGACATAGGAAGGTAAGTATAATAATGATTCTTATATATATTTCCCAAATAGATCGATATATAGATAGATATGAATAGACAAGTCAGAGACAGATAGTTGTGAATAGACTGTAATACATCGATGTGAATACATTCTAATACATAAAAATTGTACGTAAGACAAGAAGAACTGAATAATACGTAATCCTCCGTCACATTTAATGAAACATAGATAGATAGATAGATAGATAGATACATAGATATATACATAGATAGATAGATATAAACAGACTGAGATAGATACGAACAGACTGAGAGTGATAGATAGATAGATAGATAGATAGATAGATAGATAGATAGATAGATAGATAGATAGATAGATAGATGATTTAAAACATGATTACTCACTATTATTTATCAATGCTGAAAAATTATCCTCCTGAATACTATTTCTCTTTCTCCTTATTTCTAATGTTACTGTTTCTAATTCCTCTACACGTTTTAACCACTTGCGTACTAGTGGATGAACTGCTTTGCTTGGGGTGATACCGATTAGAAAGTAAAGATAGATAGATAAGGACATATTGACATAAGTAGACAAGTAAAATACAAATTCCGATATATATTTCCAAAAATAGATCGATAGATATGAATAGACTTAGATAGATAGATAGATAGATAGATAGATAGATAGATAGATAGATAGATAGAAACAGACTGAGATAGATACGAACAGACTGAGATAGATAGATAGATAGATAGATAGATAGATAGATAGATAGATAGATAGATAGATAGAAACAGACTGAGATAGATACGAACAAACTGAGATAGATACGAACATACTGAGATAGATACGAACAGACTGAGATAGATAGAAACAGACTGAGATAGATACGAACAGACTGCGATAGATAGATAGATAGATAGATAGATAGATAGATAGATCTCAGTCTGTTCGTATCTATCTCAGTCTGTTTCTATCTATCCCAGTCTGTATCTATCTATCTATCTATCTATCTATCTATCTATCTATCTATCTCAGTCTATTCATATCTATCGATCTATTTTTGGAAATATATATCGGAATTTGTATTTTACTTGTCTTCTTATGTCAATATGTCCTTATCTATCTATCTTGAAACAGATAGAAACAGACTGAGATAGATACGAACAGACTGCGATAGATAGATAGATAGATAGATAGATAGATAGATAGATAGATAGATAGATAAACAGTTTGTGATAGATAAATAGATGAAGAGAAACAGATGAACAGACTGAGATAGATACGAACAGACTGCGATAGATAGATAGATAGATAGATAGATAGATAGATAGATAGATAGATAGATAGATAGATCCTTTTATGTGGGAATTCTTTCGATATAATCCAAAAATGCACTCAGTGATGTTCAT